AGGACACATACTAGTGACCTTCGACGTGGTCTTCTTTTACAGGTCCAAGTCCAGGACACATACTAGTAACCTTCAATGTGGTCTTCTTGAACACGATGGTTCCGGTCAAAAACCCTATACGGCTAATTGGCGAAGTATTCTCAACCTATCCGCTTATTATCCACTACTGAAGTATCTCCAGTGGGATGATGCTTCTATAAACAAATAGGGGTTACCAGCACTTTGAAAAATGTTGAACGAATTAGAAAAATTCTGAAAAACAAAACGGGGGTATACAGGACCGCTTGTGACTGCGGGTTGGTCTACATTGAAATTACAGAATAAGTACACAGCTCTCTGAACATCTGAAATTGTCACCTCGAGTACAACGATCAATCAGCTGCAGCCGAACATGAACACAAAAAAGCAGTCTCATTATTCCGTCCGAAATACGAAACTCATAATTAATATTCAAGAGTATATAGGGAGGCAATGAAATTCAAAAACATAGAGGCACTTTCTATAAAGAGGAAGAATGAGTTAACATGAATAAGATCTGGGTGCCTGTCCTTGACTGCTCATGAATGAAGTCATTCAATCAGGAACGGAGTACCATCCACGTCGAATGTAATTGAACCAGAGGCAAATTTCAATGATGATTCATCTGCTGTGAGGACCACCACAGTACTTCATTCGATACCTCATCGCCTCATGCCTACCGCAGTCGTAGTCGAAACGTCGGGTTTGAAAACCTGCGAACCATAGCTAACAACCCGTAAAATAGATTTGACACAATTTGATCCTGCAACTCTAATGACATTATTTTGATAAATTGATTGAAATCAGGTTATGAAAGTAAGTGTTTAGCTTTCGGATCGTACTGTATTATATTAACAACAATACGATAGCTTTGGAAATGTAATAATAGGAAAAAACTAAAACAGACATATTTCATTGTGTCGTTATATGGACATAACATTCAATTTTCGACTGCAGAAAAATATCTGGGAAAATATTCAGCATTGCTAGCAACAAATTCATCTCGAGGCAGTCAGAACTATTCAACTTCAAAGTATAGTACTGGGTCGTATCTGAAATAGTACTTGAGAGAATTGAAGATCACTCCAATGATAATCTAAGTAATCCTCCACCTGTTGGCAGAAATAAATTCAAGCTACAATTCCATTCTATTTGCATACCTGGCTAAAGAATATTTTTGTATGAATCATGTTGTGTTGCTCCTTCGCCATTTTTGAACTTATTCGTTCATCAATTATTGAACGTGTCAGCGTGGAACTTATACATATTTTCAATAAACCCAAAGCGTACACCATGATCCGCTGTTCCTTCGCCATTTTTTGTTTCTATTAATTCACCAATTATTGAACATTTTCGTTCACCAATTATTGAACGTGTCAGCGTGGAACTTATATTTTCAATAAATCCAAAGCGTACATCATGATCCGCTGTTCCTTCGCCATTTTTTTGTTTCTATTAATTCACCAATTATTGAACATTTCATAATTCAATGTGATCATTAACAGTAACGCTAGTGAAAACTTATTGTAATCCTGCAGATTTCAATAGAATAATTGATTTGGTCCGAAACTTGTGTTACGTCAGTTGTAGTTTTTGTATTGCATAAATGAATGGTTGGTACTTGAGAAATGTATTTCATCTTTCAGATATTCACTTATGAAATTATGTTGAAGTTCCTTATTCTGTAATCTCTATGAACTTTCCATCTCATTCTTATTTAGTGAGAACGAAATAGTTGAACAATATTGAAAATGAGACTATGATAGATCAAAATATCGTGGATTTTGTTTCATTTGGTAGGTCCTTTCCTGTTCTTGATGAATCTATTGAAATTAAGCCAGCTATCTGAAAATATACCAACACTTTCAATCAAGAGATATAAAAAAAAATGTGTTGCCCAGTTTGAAAATGATATAAATTTCGATTCACTCAGGTTCAATTTCAAATCATTGAATTTTAACCAGTTTTCCGTAAACTTGATATCACTTTGTATATTTCCTGTAACATAAATTCATATTTCGAAAACTGTTTTTTCACAGTTTTCATAATTGTATAAATATAATTCATGGGTCCCAAAGAAGACCATTGTGGAACACTATGTTTTTTTATTTTTTTGGTATTTCATCATTCAACTTTGTAACTTGTAATCTACTTTTGATACAGGATTCAAACCAACTCATCTTATCAGTGAATCCCATTCTATGCAACTTTCATAAAAGCAATTCTCCATTGAAAGTTTTGAGAGTTATTTTGAGATCACATAATTAATTGCCGAATATTTTGCCTTCATCAATTGGTGGCTTACAGTCAGTAAGTGAAGTTCGAATTCCACCAGAATAAGTTTGTATAAACCAAACTTGAGAGATTGAAAGTGAGTCAGGAATATCAATATGATCCTAAATTCGTTATTCAACTGGATGATGTCATTTACTGCAATTATCATAATATTTGAGACTATAATTCGCATTGATTCATTTCGTTCAGTGTTTGAACAGGGTTAAACAATGTTAAAATCATCGAATGTGTATAAAAATCCAAAAGAAAATCATCCCACGAAAGTACAAAGAGAGAATTCAGCAGACCTTGTATGAAACTTTCAATGAAACTCTTGAAATGTCTTTGGAACATTCCGAATACTTTTTGTTTGCGAATTGATCATCCCATTGTTGTAGAAAATTGGCCGTGAAAATGCTCTTTTCGGAGATTTCAGTCGTGCATAATTAAAATGTTTTCGAATTCAATATCGGACTCCAAAAGTTCAAAACTCCATTACCAACTTCCCTGAAGTTCCCTACATTCGTGTCAATGAAAAGTTTCACGGGGATTTTACGAATGCGATGCGATTACCACATGTTTGATTCAAGTTATTCGACTGATAAAATCACTGTGACAATTGACAACGGCTGGGAATACGGCAACTGAATATAAATGAAGCAAAACTTATGGCGCTATTTCTGTTACCAGGGACTTCAATGAAATACTAAACCATTAGAAAACATAACTTGTTTAATAAAACGTGGATTGTCTGATGCATTTTGTCGTTAAGTATCGTGAGAATCTTCCTCTATACTCAATAGTTTAGGACGAATAGCATTCTGAATATGTTTGACATGACTAGTTGGGTTCCACTTGGGTTCCACTTGAAGTAACCATATTTTACTTTCAAAATCTTCCTCACTCAGAATATGTGGTGAATCTTCCACCAAACGCCTTAACTGACATTTACTTGACAATTACTTTTTAACGCAATACTTTCGATAGTATTTTTCATACATTCCAAAGAAATAGCTAGATAAAAAATCAACTATGAGATATACAAACTACTCATATCTAGATGAAAATCATTGTTGGAGCCTAGGAAATTAAAGCCTTGGCCGAAGCTCAAAAAAGTGAAATTTCGCATTTTTTCTAACTTACCTAACTAACCAAATGAAAGAATATGATTGCTACATGTTGGTGTATCCGTTCACTATGCACGTAAGGATAGGGGGTCCCCAAGATCACCAGATCTGAAGCCACTAGATTTTTTCCTGTGGGGTCATTTAAAATTGGAACTCTATGTAGAAAGACCGTAAAATTTAGAGAAGTTGAAAAATCGATTCCAGGTTGAAATTAGCAAGATTAATATAGGGGTTATTCGCAATGTTGGAAAAGGATATGTCCGTGGATTTGCTTATTATAGAAAGAGTGGTGGATGTCATTTTGAACATATCATTCAACTGTTGTATTTTGTAAGAATAGGGTTGGTACCCTAATGAAAAAAAATAATTTTTGGTCACCCAGTATAAAAATATTGAATTGATTGTCATTACTGTATGCAGTATTGAAAGACCTCAAATAAACAAATTACCGATGACGTCACAAAGCTTAATATACATAGAATTTTCATATCACTACATATAGTATTATTTTATCAACACTTTCTGTTTCATCCTGGTAAAGAAGAAATATTCATTCTAACGGTAGAAGGTTCTAGATCTCAGGGTTCTAGATCCCAGAGGCCTTCAAAATAAACAAACTGTTCCGATATCGAATGGTTTGTATTTAACAAAAAACGAAAAATTAAAATTAAAAGATTCCAAAACAAGTTACGTCACGACGTTTCGATTGTTAGTATCAACAATCGTCTTCGGGTGATAACTGGACTCATTTCTCCGAGATCTGACTATTTATAGGTCATTCGAGTGCTTTCATCTATCCCCTCTTCCTTCTCTACGCTTTATTGGTTTTAGCGGGAGATGACCGTTTGGCGGGAGTTGGTCGTTTTCCGCTTGATTAGAGGTTTCCATATGTTACGTATCTCTTCGCTAGCTTGGCTAAATGCGTTGTTGGACAACATATGCGCGGTTTCTTTGAATTTTCTCCTAAACCAGTGTTCCTCTTTGTGGATTATTTCAGCTTGAGCCCACTTGATGTTATGTTGATGAGTCCAAACATGCTCTGCTATTCCGGATTTGCTGGTTTCTCCTCGCTGTGAGTATTTCTTGTACTCAGCAATGCAAACTTTCAATGGCCTCTTAGTTTCACCGATGTATGATTCTCCGCACTCGCAGGGTATGCAGTAAATGCAATTCTTGGAATCGCAGTCCACGTTTGGTGGCCTGTTTTTTGTTTAATAAAATTGTTATCTTTTCGGTTGGTCTTTTCAATTTTTTTTACAGATTCTTTCAGGGATTTCGAATCAATTTATATTATATGAGATAATAGAAGTCCGAACTCATAAAATACACAACGAAACATTGTCAACTTCAAACATCCAAATGGGTTATTTTGAAATGCCCCATATATATATTACATGCATAGATCTAGAAAGTTTTTTCCAAAATCCAATCAATTCATTTCAAAACCTAAGGCTTCAGACTGTGTATCACGTTCAAAACTTTCTTAATGTTTTTTTCTTTCGAATAAAGAAATTCATATATTAGTTAATCTCTCGTCTGAAACTTTGACATTAGAAAACTAAAACACCGTTTCTTTTACAGATTCCTAGCAATATGGTGGCCCCTGAAATGCCAAATCACCAAACGACGAGCAAGAATCATTATAATATTCATATGGTTCGTGGCACTGACAACGACAATACCTTGGGCAATATTTTTCGACTTAGTGGTGATCTTCAGCGACGCTCCCAACGTACAGCTCTGCATCGAAGTATGGCCTGACCAAATGAACGGCTCCCTGTACTTCCTGACTGCCAACTTGATGTTCTGCTACATCTTTCCCATGATCCTCATCACCATGTGCTACGTCTTGATCTACATCAAGGTTTGGAAGCGCGACATCCCAACAGACACCAAGGATGCCCAGATGGAGAAGATGCAGCAAAAGTCCAAGGTCAAAGTTGTGAAAATGCTCGTAGCGGTTGTCATTTTGTTTGTTATCTCTTGGCTGCCACTGTATGCAATTTTCGCTAGGATCAAGCTTGGTGGGGAGATAGAACCTTGGGAGGAGGAGATCCTTCCGATTGCCACCCCGGTAGCACAGTGGTTGGGAGCATCTAACTCTTGTATCAATCCTATACTCTACGCTTTCTTCAACAAGAAGTACCGCAGAGGCTTTGTGGCAATAATAAAGAGCAGACGATGCTGCGGCAGACTGAGATACTACGAAGCTGTGGCCATGATGTCCTCCTCTACTAGCATGAGGAAGTCCTCGCACTTCTACAACAACAACTCCTCCACCAGGAAGATCCCGCCAGTGCAGGACAACGCAGTTTCCTACATCTACAACAACACCGGGGTCTGAACCTGGAAATGGTCGCCCGGTAGCGGTTTGGTTAAAATTTGAGGAGTTTTGCTCATACTTTGCAGAAAAGATTTTGACCAGAGCTCGACCAAAGGGTCAGCAGGATTAGTTGTGAAACCCATGATTTGTGTAACTAAATGTTTGAATTTGTAGCCTGAGGTTACATTAGATTAAGGTAAACTGAGGCAGAAATTTTTTTGTAACTGTAAGCTTGTGGCAGAAATTTTAGAAAACACTTGTCGATCTTCTTCTAGGAATAAGATATATCTTTTTAACGAATTTGACTATACTCGAGCATCACCTGAAGCGTGTCTTAAAATTGTTGGTGTATGTGGAAGACATTATTGCGTTTGGGCTGCCAGAGTGGTTCATGGAAGAGATTTGAACTCGAGGAATTAGGTAGCCCTTACATCCTTGTTAATGCCAAATGTTTTGCTTCAGGGGTACTTTGGATACTATCAAAACACAGTTCAGATGTAGCTCAATATACGTCTCAGTATCAGCCAAGAAACCATATGCCGTCTAGTGAATATTTCAGGGCAAAATTTACATATCATTCGTTCAGATGTTATGCTCTGCGCCTGATCTGGCACTCATTAATTTTTTGCTGCTACATTTCTCATGCCTCTAGTTTAAATCAACACTGGGTACACTGAAATCAGATTCAACTTCTATGAATCGTTGTTAGACATATTGAAGCATATATGTCATATTTCCTCATTCTTTGGATAATAATAAAGCTATTAGCAACTTCGATGTGAATTTATAAAAATTTTCCAATTTATTTTCAAAGTATACTATAAAGAATGAGGTTTCTGCTAACGTGAGATTACTCAGTTTGTTTCATTTTGTATGAATATCCATTAGACAATGTTACTAATCATCCGCTTCGAATGTAACTGTACGTTTGAGTTTTACAAATTCCATTCCAGTGTTTGCCAAGATATTTGAAAACTATTAATTTCAATAGCACTTGAAATAGTTATAGATACGTGAATAATTCTCTTTATGAAAATGTTACCCTCACTTTGAGCTGATTGAAATATCAAGTCTTTTGAGTTATTTTCAACTTGAGAGAATATCCCAGACAGTTGAGCTAGCAACCCGTTTTATAGATTTGGTTTGAACTGAAGTTTAAACTAAAGTTCAAACTCTAGTTCAAATTCCGGTTTAAACTACTTTCAAACCTTCTGCAGCATTTCGCCGTTTTATAGGTTCAGATTTTAACAGTTATATTCATTACTGAGAGGTTGGCATTTTCTAAGGAATATCAAAAAATGTCAAGAATACCATTGACAGTATTGAGAATCTTGACAAGTTCACCTAATGAAGTTGTGTAATAAATACTTCATCTGAATGATACATTCATGTTTATTTTTTTCAATTTCGGAAACAATTTATCGAAAATTTAGAATAAGTACCCATCAAGTTTGAAATTCAAAATGTAACTCATAAAATAAATTGGGGTGTAGAACCAACTGTATTCTAGATGTTTTGTCATATTAGGTTGAATATTACTGGACATGTGGAGCTACAAAACAAATGACATAAAAACGGACCAAACTTTAGAAACAACCTCATATTAATACGCTAACAAGTAATAATGTGTCATACCAGAAAAGCATCAATTGAGATTTCAAAACCAAGTTTCGATTCAGTTTCGAAATCAAAATCCATTACTCAAAGTAATGAGCATGTGGATTGATACCGTATTGCTCACCACCATCCATTCAGGAATGTAATTGTTCATTTGATTTCCATAACTTCCAATGCTTCATTCATTGTGAAATAAAAAATATTTGAACTAAAAAATTTTCGTAAACTTCAAGCGAAGAATATTTCTTTAATGATCAACAAAATGAACAGTGAACTTGTAGTATAAAAAACTTCAGAATCCCTTTAAAATGAAATATGGTGGAGCCAAAATCAAATTATGTTCAATGTGGAATATTTCAATTCGTTCCTATTGATTTTTGTGTAAATAATACTCGTATTAAGAGCTCAAATTTAATTCCTGAATTATCCATTGAAGGGACACTATATTTTTCGTAACCTTATTCCTTCAACTTATCCAACCCTTGTAGGTAGACTTTTCACTCATGAGGATGTAGACGGCTTCAACAAAAAACAGGGTATCTACCATATGGATCAAATGAATCACTCTAGCAGCATCTATCACATGACAGCTTAATTTTCGAAAAGTCCTGAGTTATCTGTTTTGATGTTAGAGAGTAGAACGTGGCAAATAAAGTAGAAAATTACCTCACCCAGGATACGAGGTTAGCATAAACAAAGTTTATATTGTAAGAAATATTTTAGAAAATGTTTTGGAAAAAACCTTTGATAAGGTTTTATTTCTGGGTGCGATTGTTGTAACAATAATTGTCAAAACTTTTAGATATAATACAAAAATGTTATAGAACTGAAAAACTTTTTTACGCATTTCACTCAATATATAATACTGATTCCCAAAACATGACTTCATCTAAAAATTGGGGATCGTCATCACCAAATAAAAATATACTGCCTCCTTAGCAGATAAACAATCAATTTCAAATAAGTAATGACGGGGTTGAAGAAAAATTTTAAATGTATTTAAGAAATTCAACTCGAATGTATGTTTTTCTTCAGCATATCGTTGTAGAATAAAATGAATGGTTCTCATTGTGATTTTGTGTTTTATGTATTGAGAGGAACTGTAGGCATGACTGTCTGATGGATTTTCGTTTAACGAGATACGATGGTTCTATTGAAAAACGCTTACATTAGGAACTTAATAGAAATAAAACTGCCCTATAGATTGATGTAATTTATCTTTGCGTAAGCAATGTTGATGAATTATTGGAAATAAAGTTGTAATTAGAAATAAAGCGTTCGACTTTTATTTCGTTTCAAAAAAGTGTTATGAGTATAACAAGTGCTCGTTTATTTTTATCCAAAATCCAAAAATATTGTTGTTTATGAAGGTGCAGAAGAGTCACTTTCACAATGACAAACTGTAAATGAAGATACAGCGAATTCTCATTTCACGGTTCAAACACTACTCTCATTCTTAAAATATTGCTTTATGACATATTTCATCAGAAATTAATAAATCCTACTGAGAATGGATAGATATATCTACCAATGAATTCAACTCATTCTTCTTTAAAGTCGCATATATCTTCTCAGTGATCATCAATCACCATGCAATGGAATTTCTGAAAGTTATGCTTTTTTTCTGGCACATGTGACCAATATTGAGGTATCTAATGGTGTCATGGCCTTGAAGGACTAGTGTTTTTGATATTCACTTAATGATAATAATAATAATAATATCGTTTATTATGCATAAAAATACATTTATACATAAAAGGAAAAGGGTTAGCCAAAGGCTTTCTTGCACCCCTCCCAAAAATTATACAGTGAGTATAAGAAAATAATTATAAACATACTTATTTACTATCATAACAACATACTATCATAGAGAAGAGAAAGAATAATTGTTAATATAGGCTCCTTTTACTTTGTTGTTTTACTTTATCAAAAGACCATATACATTTTCTATTTTATTTTGTATTTCCAACTTGACACTACATTCCTCTTCAACCTACATCAAGAAACACTTGAAACACAGAACCAGAGACAGAACTTAACTAAACAAACTTCATTATATGTCAAGGCAGTGCAGCCAAAAGCATAATACAAAAATCACCAGTATTAGACATATTTTAACAATATTATCAAAAGACCGTATACATTTTCTATTTTATTTTGTATTTCCAACTTGACACTACATTTCTCTTCAACCTACATCAAGAAACACTTGAAACACAGAACTTAACTAAACAAACTTCATTATATGTCAAGGCAGTGCAGCCAAAAGCATAATACAAAAATCACCAGTATTAGACATATTTTAACAATAATACATCAAATAGTTGCTAATAACGCTTAATATTCTTAAAATTATTTTGGTCAATTTAACAATTTCATTGCACTATCATACATTGAATTTAAAATTGTGTAAATTAGCACTGAGCAGTGAGCATCTGTGATTTTATTTCTTTCTTGAATTGATGAATATTATGATTTGAAAGGGGTGAAATTTCATTCAGATAAGAAGGGGCTATATAAGAAAAATATCCTTGAAATTTGGAAGTACAGTAAAATTATAGAAAATACAGTAGACATTCTAGTCGGCACAATGATATGTACCATGGATGACATTTTTCATCAAGAAGTTTCATATTCAATTCAGTTGTCCTTTGTAATGCACTTTCCAGTAATTTCAGACACCATATCTACGTTATATAACTTCAAGAATAAACAGAAACTGTACTTGAAATTAGCCCTCTAGTTCAACTAAATACCGTTAGCGATCGCTTTCGTGATATTTCATTGTCATTGTACCTCTGTGTTTTCTGTCCACTGGTTTATGATTATTTTAATAAATTCAACTTGTGAATACTATGAGTGAACTTTTGAGTGTCTATGTGTACCTATTTATCATCTTCTAACTAGGTTAAGTCGAAAAAATCCGCCTATCATTAGTGTCTTCATATTTGTTATTTTAATCATTATAATAACTATCGTTGATTAATGAGACCGATTTATTATTCATTAGTATATTGAACTCTGAATAATCATGCTGATGACACCACAATCATTGACCAACACAAAGATATATATAATCTTCATGAACTATCAGAAGCCTTTAAGAAACAAAGTTAACTATGGTTAATAGCCAACAAACTAAAACCAACTTCTTCCAGTCTTCACCTCTAAACTAATTTCTCCACTTTGAGTCACCTTCGACTCTACTTTCTGTCGGTTATTATACTGAACATACCAAATGTATTCGATATCAGTTCAAATTTAGTGCTATTTTTTCCTTCAATGACGTCAGTAAGATGGCGGCCAAAATATTTGCCATTTCGCAGTCTCTCCCGGAATAAAGCAATGGTTGCGTCTAAGATGAAAATGCACAAAGCGCTGCGCTGAATGCAGCATAACACGCTTTTTGAATCGCTTCAATTACATAGACCGGTTATTTTCAGAATTTACCACATTCAGCAATAAAGCACCTTTTCCTGCAGAATACTGGTGTAACAAAAGACAATAGAGAGGCCTTTATCATCCTTACATTGAAGGCAGCATAACTTTGTTTGTTTGCGGGAAGTAAGTTGGACCATAAAACAGTGGCGCTTGGTTTAGTTGATAATCGGAGGGATATTATATAATTATAAAATAAATCATTTCAGGTGAAAATGTAATCTGTTTAAATAGTTCCTACAGAAAATCTGATTTATTATTGATGATTATGGAAATGAGGCCAGTTTTTCTACTACCTACTAGATTTTTATTTATGTATGACTTTATAATGAAGCGCGTGGTTTACTGGGTTGAAATTGAATTATTTCATATGAACTAATTCATAACAATGATAAATGTTAATTTCAAAAGTAATGAACTTTGCTTCATAAAATCAGATGGAGAAAATTTCTGATTTATTCTCAGATTTGATAAACAAGCGGTACGGTTTGAGAGGTCCGATATAAAGAATTTTCGATTAGAAATCATGAATATTTATAATTACGATTGAGGTTTGATATTATTATGTGATTTCATTCAAAATTGGTATCTAGGGGTCTTTGTGGACCGACTTCAAATGTAAACAAACTCTCCATAACACCTCATCACCCGCCACCCCCCTCGCCAATAAGTTGTACAGAAAAGGATAATACGATACCCGTTTGAAAACACATGTATAGTATTGGTATAGACATGGCAACTCTATGTCATATTATTACTCTGAGACGCAAACAATGAAAATGAAATGACACTGAGTGAACTGTCATCTGTCATATCATTATCATTAACCTGTGATGATAGACGTCACTGCCTATGTTGTTTGTGTTAACCTGAAAAAGTAGTGTTTATTTATTTATATTTTATCAATTCTTGATGTTTTTGAAAGAATTTTTTGTTGATTCACAATCTCAGTATAGATTCATTTGTGGAAATATAGTATGTCTGTTGAGTCAATCAACATTCTCTCCGAATATATTCACATCATCTGACCGAAAATACAATATTTTTTTTACAAAAATGGAGATTCCATCATTATTATTTTGGAGAAATTCGACAACCACGGAAACCCTACTAGTGTGACTCCTCTAGCAATTGAATATCCATTTATAGTCTTTAAACGGTTATTATTGAATCCTTTGGTACACTTGGACAAAATGGATTTTGAACTAGCAGGTCCCAGTAATGGAGTTGGCCCACCGAGAAAGAAAATGAAGCATTCTGCTCCAAGAGATTCCTCTCGAAGAGATTTAGCGAGCTTTCCAGTGAGTACCCTATAAAAAAAGCAAAAAATGCATTTTTCTTCATTTTTAGAATTACTCATTTCTTCCAATGACCCTGTTTAGTATACAACACGTCAATCACTAGAAAATCGTACATTACACAAATTCCCTTGCTATGAATGCACAGTCACTAATTACGAAACTATATAAAAACACAAGAAATAGGTACTTCAATATTGGTTCATATAAAAAATCTCACAAATGGATTTCCAAGAATTTTTTCATATTGAGATTGTAATATTAGGTTCCAAGTAATCATTCAACGCTCCACTGCCCAGACTAATTCAAACTTGTCCAAATGAATCCATCTACCTAATAAAGCAAACTGATTGTGGTTTTTTGGTGGATGGATGATCTTTCAGATCTGACAAAAATTCTACCAAATATTGAGAATCTGAGTCTAGTACTTTAAAACCCTTTCAGCACCTTTTCTTGTAGAGTAGCCAGTAATTCAGACCGGATACAATATGTTGAGTCTTACTATTGAGAAAAGTTTTTCAGCAGTTCATTCCAATGTGAGCTTCACTGCTTGGCTCTCCAAAAATATTGTTATATATTTATGTATAAAGATGGTTCCATCAATCTCTTCACTCACACTTGAACAGTAGCATTTTCAAGTAATACATTATTGTGTATTATTGTAAACTAGACAGTTTACCAAACTGCAAAACATATTTTGTTATACAACATTTTTCACTAGCGTTTTTATACTGATTGTCATCAAGTATCTACCAATTCTCCACTTGTCTATATTTTAACGGAAAACTTGCTAAGAAAGAAAACTTTTTCTTCCAGTTCATATATGAAAGTTCTATACATGACCTACATATCTTCGTGAAGACTTCATTTTGAACTTATTTCCATTCTTCCTTCCTTTGAAAGATCCCCATAGTTTTTGTACAAAGATGGAGGAGTAGATAGCCATAAAGTTTTTATTTTTAATTTTTTTATCATGGTAAAGATCTGTGCATCATTGAAAGGCGTCAGAATAAAAGAGCTGGGATTACTTTTGTCAGTGAGATTCCAATTCTCAATTTGAAGTATTAGTTTAATACATTTTTGGAAGCGTAGAGTAAAGACACACCCGAAGAAGCAATTGTATGGCGAAACACGTGTTGAGTTTTTTTAAACTGTTCACTAGAACTCTCAGAATAAAGTGATTTTCTATTCGTTCAGAATTATGTATGTTTTTTTATGCAAATATTTCGTTTCAGAAAGATGTTCTCCTTAAGATATTTGGATATTTAGATTTACAATCCATAAATAACTGTGCCATGCTGTGTTCTACATTCTATAATTTATCAAAAGAAAGCTCGTTATATACATCGGTGACATTGAAGGTTCGTACATTTTAATTTTGAATATTTTTGAATAACTTTCACATTAATTTTCAGTACAACATGTCCCCTCATTTTTTAGAATCGTTAATAGCCAAAGTTTCTTGTCCCAAAGCAGTTTCCATCAAATATAAACCATTAGATCAGCATGCTGAGAAAGAAAACCTTTTGATATTTGAAAAATATGTTGAAATGTAAGTTTTTGGGTTTCAGTCATTAGCACAATTTGTAGATAAGGTTAATTGATTTGATTTCTAATTATTTTTTTTGTTCTTCAGGTATTTCTTTATATGTATATATTCATTTGAACTATAGAAAAAAATGTATACAGATTACAGCAAAGTCAAAATTGTAATGATTTCTGTTAATCAAACACCCCCTATGTTCAACCCACAACACGTTTTTTTGCCAGAGCATTCGATGTAGTAAATAAATCACAAGTAAAGTAACAAAAATTATCGTCTAGGAAAATAACATTTAATATGAAGTTACTTGAGAAATCCTTGTATACCCGGATACTATTTTAGATGCACTTTAGTCAATATCTCATCTAATCTAATCACTCAAATATTGAAAGTCAAGGCAAAACATTCAGTACAAAGCATCAACTTGGTTTGATAATAATTAAACAACAATTAATTTTAGAAAAACCTGTTATACCATTGATTTAGAATTCGCACTGTATTGTCTGTAGGTATTTATGTTACTTAAATATTTTGTATTGTCAGTGTCATTCAATGTCAAGTAAAGCCTTATTCTTGCCTAGGATTATAGGTACTATTCTATTGACTTTTTTCACATACATAGTGAAGGATAAGCTGCCAAAGCCAGACCGATTAGAACTTGATCCAAACTTCAGGCAAGACCTGACAAAATGTACAAGATTATCTCCATAAGGATTTTTTAGTGTATAAAAAATATTTATAGGAAGCCATTGATATTCGGAATATTCTAATAAAAATAAACTATCAATAATTAAAATGTGGAGAACATCTTTTATCTCTGAAAATCGAAGGTTGTCGAAGTGATAAAGTATTACTTAATCTGAAAGACTGTATTTCTTTGAAAAGTAAGAAATTTATTTTCTTGTAAATATACTTCAAAACCGTGTAGACAAACCCCTTGTTAATATTATTAAATTTTGTAGGGCTGACCCTGTATAGGTGTAAGAGCTCATTCGATGTTCTAGCGTTTCTCTGTCATTTAACTAGCATTAGTTTCACCTCTTGCCATTTTCCACAGAAAGTAGTCAGTGAATTGATCAGGGCTAATCCAAATCTGAAGTACCTATTTTTATGTAAGTACAGCAGCAAAGTATTTTCAATTGGAGATTTCCTAAAGGTCGACTAGTCTAGCTTGACTTCTGGGATGTATACAAAAGAGAATGAGAGGTCGCAATGCTACCAGCATAGACAACTACCAGAGGTCAAGCGAGAATGGTCAACTTCAGTAGATTGTGCTTTCTGTTTACAGCAAACAATATCAATGTAAATGCCAATGAAATCTGCGAAATTATGTCCAAACAGAATCCTGAAATGATGGAAGTATATTTCAATGAGAGGAAGAAAGTGCGGGCCAAAAGCTTGAGAACTCTAGCTAGACTGACTAATTTGAGAAAACTTGTTCTGAAGTCGAGTTCAGGTTTTGAGTGTGACCCTGAAGATGCTCTGGAACTGTTGGCAGCTGGTTGCTCTCGTTTGGAGAAGTAAGTGATACTTATTAAAAATATTCCACTATTAAGTAGTGTATGCTTTGTAACCTTGATATTTGGAAGAATGGAAAAATTACGTCCCATTAGGTGAGACTGTATAGTCAAAATTCATAAAATTCAAGTCAAAGTTCAATTCATCTAGAGTATAATCTATGGAAATAAAAAAAATGAACAGAAAATGAAGTGAGAGCAGTAAACAAGAGAAATTATCTGTTTTATTTCAGCCACAGATCTATATTGTGACCAGTAAAGTCCGCATCATATGAGAAATTTTTTATCAATAGTTTTATTCGAAATTTGACTTTGGTATGAATCTCTGCTTCGATATGCTATTGTATAGCAAAACACGTGTTGGGATTTTTGAAACTGTTCCTTGAAAATATCACAATAAAGTGGAATATTCCTCCAATCATTACTAAATTTCAAGTGAGATTTTTCGCTGATCACGCCATCTAGAAGATAATAGATGAAGTGATCTTTGGGATTTTTTTTTAATATCTTCATCTGGATTTTCGAAATATTTGAAATGAAGGAATTTTGTTTTATTTTCAATTCCTTATCGTTGGATATCAAGTATCGTTCAAGTAGAGTGTCGTTCCTTATTTGTCTGTTGTCTTGGTTTAGTATTACAATTATTGGATTTTGTGTTTGCAGTTTCTCTTTTTCATATTCTTCAAGAAGCAAGATCTTGTAGAAATCATTTCCAGTATTTTGTGTAATGCACTGTTTGGAACCTTTAGTGTAGTAATGAATATTACTGGAGTTCAATCCCAAAACCAAAACCGTTATTTTTAACACCTCGACACGTCTTTCAATCATCAAGTGATCATCTTCAAGAGAAACATTAAATGGTTTAATCTTTCTCTTGAAGAATAAACAGTTTTAATTTTCATGTTGAAGTTGATCACTTGGTGATTGAGACACGTGTTGAGGTGTTAAAAATAATGGTTTCGTGTTGGGATTGAACTTCAGTAATATCCAGTATTTTTGATAAGCTTTATATGATATTGTGAATCCATTAATAGAGTAAGAAAGTTTCCTCAAACATGTAAATGAAAAATGGTATATTTCCCAAAGAGTTCTTGTATATTTGAAGAATCTGGCAATCATGGAGATATGTCTCCATACCGATTTCTTTTTTATTAGAGCTCAATTACAGATTGAAATATGCCCCTTGCCAATAGTGGAGTCTAGTGATGCCTGGAGGAAATCTCACATTAAAGTGTGTTTTTTAATATGTTATAATGGATTTTCATCAAGTATTGGTCAGTTCTATCATATTTTTAAAGATTCTAGAATACTTCACCATATTCTCAAACACTGTATCAGGCATCAGTTTCATAATGGGTAATAAGTTTTTAAGAGAGAGCGGAGGAAATCTACCAGTTGTGAGTTGTACAGGGTTTAACCGTAAAGTTATACATTAAAGTTATTAGTTTAGTATAGTATAGTTACTTGACTTGCTGTGTTTATTTCCTGAAGTTGATAAATTAATTATTGAAAATTATTATATAATTTTACTGATTAATAAATACAATATGAATAAAACTCTGTCCTTTCATTATTTTCTAGGTTATCTATTCATGGTTGGAAAGAAATAAATGATGATAATTTCATACCCGCCTTGCGAATGTTCACGCAACTAAAAACTCTCGATATGAGAGGTACGAGTATAACAATAAAAAGCTGTAGAGACGCAGCACTCACTTTGCCCTTATTGGAAACTATAGATGTAATTGAATGCAATAGGATCAAAAGACAGCAGGTATGTTAATGTATGATTTGTTCAATTAGCAAAAACTTTGTCTATTTGACATTCAAGTGTGCAAAGGAGTTGTCCACGAAAAATTTTTAAATTCGTATTGTTATTCATGAGCATAGTTTGAAAATACACATCAAGTTGAATAAAAACAATTCATAGTAATGATAATGTGTGTGTGTGGGAATGTCTGAAGCTGTTCTAATGCAGTTGATTGATGAAACCTATTTATTATATCTATAACTTCGGATTTTATTCAAACAAGAGTTGAATTAGAATCCAATTCATCCTAATTTGAAAAAACTCAGGAACCTGCTAATTTCTGTTCTTTTAACATTGTTGATGAATTAACATTTATTTGTGTATAACTTAGTTTTTCAGTATCTGATGGATAAGAGATGCATCAATTATTTTTGTATTAAGTTGTCCATTTTAGCTGTAATATCTCAGTAGATACTCATTCAATTTAATGGAAATAAGCGCCAATCGAATCAGTACACTTTTGCCAACTCAACACAAGTTATTCATTCCATCAGTATATAAATTGTGTGCTCTGGATTCGATGAAGTCGACGAAGGCCGTTTTTACCTGAAAATACTACTGAATGAAATTCAATAGCTTTTGTTCACTCACCTATTCATTTTTACAGTATTATAAGATTCTAAAGAAGCATTCATTAGCATTAAGTGCTTAGGAATTCCAAATGTATATCAATGACAGTATAATAATATTAGATTTTATAGAATATGGTGTCATTTTTATTACCGTATTTTAATTAGTCTGGTTTTTTATTCTTACTAGTTATCTTCTAATCATTCTTGAATGTTCTTTTTGTTGTAGTTGATTTCATTGCGGCATGACTTTGAAGACATTAACATCCCCTTGGACTGACAGCAAATGCGTTTTTCTCTAATAAAATTGTTTTCTATCCTAAGTTCTCTTTGTAAATGTGTAAATAAATTATTTTTATGAAATCTTCGATAAATTAATTATTCCCAATGAATTGTGATGATAAAGTTGTAAGGGTCAAAATATTATTGGATATGCTCACAGTTGAAACAGAAAATTGTCATTTTATTTTGTCAATGATGAAATGTTGAACATTTTCTTCATCATAGCTGCAAAGATGAATCCAGCAAAATAAAGGAATGTTTTTGTTGGTATGTAGTACTGTATCCTCTGGTGTTAAATGAGACTAGCAAATAATGAAACCACCATGAAAGCACTTTTCACAACGCACATCATTTCCTGATTGATTTGGTCTTTATTTGGTGAAGATCCATAGTAATTTCACAAAGTACACTGAAAACGATTTGATTTTCACAAACTTTATTTCTAAAATTTCATGACATTTTTCACTGTGATAGCGAAACATGTCATGAAATTTTAGAAATAAAGTTTGTGAAATGATATCGTTTCCGGTGCACTTTGTGAAAAATGCACATTATTTTGTCAACTAGGTTGACGAGCCAAACTTGATTAATGAAACTCATGTTTGTTAAATGTAAATAATGAGGGATAGTGTAATATAGGGTATGTCAAAAACATTGATTAATATAATACTGATACCTACATCCTTTCCCAGTTCTCTGATAAGTTGGTATTTTTTCAGAAAAGCAGTGTACTTTCTCAAAAATAGAAAAAATGAAATGGTTATTTTCATTCAATAATATTCCATGGTATATCATTAAAACGAAAGAAGCCTTCTTATACACCTGTACTATTAAAAGTAGATATCCTTTCTATTTATAGCAATTTGTTAGTGAACTGACACAGATATTCTTCACTATCTTTAAATTATTTTTAAGTGTTGATGTTATAATTATCCAATGTTTACTGCTCACAAAACTTTCCATTCTTAAATATCTTCACCCATATCACCTAACTGAATAAAATTTACAAATGTAAATGTAGATTATATGTTCAAAACAAATATTACCTAATAGCTTGTTTACCCGTTTCGAAATTAATAGTGAATCACCTACAAAACTACAACTATGAGAGAGTATATCAGCAGATCTGATAATGTCCCAATATTTTAGGAAAATTTGTGACATGGTTCACAGTATTTTACTGTTATTATGCTAAAAATGTCACTATTTTTATTATGCCAAGAATTTATGTAGTACAGCTTGCCAAATGACAGATAACATCATCAAAATACCTTGAACTTGAAAGTATAAACATGTTTCATTTGAACACAAGGAAAGTTGGGATTGAAGTAGCAAAATCAGTATTTATCTCAAAAATGACTGCAGAAATTAAAGAAATGCCCCATGTACATTCAACATTTTGATGCTTATACACATGAGGAATTGTCATAAAATAAAAATACTGAAAAAATTAGAAAAGAACATATCTCCTCTTAATGGAATTTTTTACAGAATAAGAAATTTCCACCCCTTAGATTTTTTAAAAATACATATTTACCCTCATTTATGCACAATTGCAATATTTCATTTCAATTTGGGGAACTTCTAGTAAATCCATAATCAAACCTCTGAAAAACCTTACAAAACGAAATAATTAGAAACATATAAATTACCATATTTGGAAGCAACATTCAACTTCTACAAACCAAACTATTCATTAGACTTGAACTTACTGTATCAATCCGAAATAAGCTGCTTCATTCTTTCTGTCAAGAATAATACAAATAAATCAAACTTTAGTTTTACTGAAATTGGACATTCATGATCATCTCTATCAAAAACTAAAACACAAATAAATTTTGAAAAAAGTCATGAACCATTATTTATATACGCTGACTGTTCAAAAAATAATGTGAATTTTCATTTTTCTCAAAAAATATTAATTCTTCATTTTCTATTTTGTCCTCTTCAAAGTAGTCCCCCTTGATTAAATACACTTGTGCCATTGTTTTTACCAATCCTTCAAGCAGTTCTAATTAGCACTGTTTTGTATGTCCTTGAGCTCTCTGGAATTTGGCTTTCAACTCCTCAATCGTCGCAAAACGCCTTCCTTTCATAGGTCTCTCCAATCTTGGGAACAGGAAAATGTCGTAGGGGGACAAATCTGGTAAATACGGTATGATTAGTGTTGTTTTTTGTCAAAAAATTACGAACAAACAATGACGATTAAACAGGTGCGTTATCGTTATGCAAAAGCCATAAATTGTTTTTACACAATACCGTATTGCTACTTGCAAGCGGCGAAGAACTTCAAGATAATACTCCTTATCAACCATACGACCATGTGGCAAGCACTACACAATAGTAATCGAAAAAAATAATGAGGGAGTGGCAAGCTTGTTTTAGTCATGGCTCGCCTGGGCTCTTCCATTGGGATTGGGAGGATTGGACTTTGGTTTCGAATAACCATATACCAATGATTCGTCACCAGTTCTGACCCTTTCTGGATCGCCATTGACGACATTCAACAATTCCCGAGCGATGCTCTTGCAACGGTTTTTTAGGTCAAAGTTCAGAAACGAATTTCGCTGCCTGATGCTTCATGCCCAAAATTTCCAAAACTTCTCTGATAGTGATTTGACGATTCTTCATAACAATTTTCCTTACTTTCTCAACATTTTCATCGGTTGTTGATGTGCTGGAGCGTCCAGGGTGAGCGTCATTCTCATCTTCTTGGCCTTCTGTGAAAAGCTTATACCGTTTGTAAACAGTTTTCTAACTCAGTACAATCATTGTATGCAACTATCCATATTTTTATACAATTTGTGGAAATTATAGCACAATATTGAATGATGACAAACAAATTGTAACAGCATACAAATCCAGTTTTGGAAACATCTAGAAAAAACGTTCTAGATGTCTGGAAACCGTGGCATTGTACACTCATTTAAAGCTTTGATTTCTTACAACTACTCTTAAATTCTAGAATGATTATACATTTGTACTGTACTTAACAAAAATACTCGCCATAATTGACGATCAGAATAGATAAACTGTTTTAATCAAGGCAACAAGGTAGCATTCAAATTGAAAACTGAGTGATAATAAATTCTACAAAGATGAAATTGACTGGACTTTGAAAACGCTTTAAAGATGTTCTATTTTCATTCCCAACAAACCTCAGCAACATTCAAATAAAAAAATCAGTACTTCCGATTAGTTATCGGTGTATCGAAAGTTAAAAAGACTGTTAGGAATGATGAACGTTCGAATGTTGCCTCGCTGCCGACACGATTTTACAAACTAAACATTTATCACACGCATCTTTGAGCTTCTGCTCACAATTACAAACTCAAAAATTATACTCTCACAATTTTTAACAATTGTACAAAATCACAATTAGAAAGAGACTAAGTCAAAGTTTAAAACTAACTACAAACTAGACAATCACTTTTTGTACGAATGATTGCTATATCACAGTGCGGCTGAACAGGACAATCATGTCTGAAGCAAAACTTTTACATCGCTACTGGACCGTCTTCTCTTTGTTTTCAAAGGTAAAATGAGAGATGCACATACAATTATAAGGTTGGGTCAACAAATCTGATATTAAGATTATATTTTGACGACTAGCGTAAAAATATCAACCCAAGTCTCACTATTTTAAAATTCAATTTCCTCACTAATATTCATAAATTTATTTTCAAATGGAACGACATAATAATTCGAATATAATTTTCAATAATAACTGACGCATTTTTTTTTCATTTACTATAATACTGTTTTATTGTTAGAATAGTCCCTGAAAATGGTTTCCATAAATACTTTGAAATTGTTCAAAAGTAGAAAACACCTTCAGGAATGACAACAAAAATATAAACGGAACTCTATGAAATAATGAATATCAATAAACAGGTGCTGAAGTGGAAAAAATGGGGCTGACATTTTTGTAACTGCGTGGGTATTAAGAGCTTCACTCGAGGGACTAAATTCAACCCAATATCAAAAGTGTTACTAATTATTTTTCAAGTTAATGGAAATGGAATATTGATTTTGAACACATTAATAAAAATAAATAATAGTGAATAAATTCTGAATCCAATTGTTTTGTATATGCTATCTCAAAATAAATTGTTAGAACTTCATAAAATATATCAAGTTCTGAATTATATAACTGATATATTGTCGTGTTCACTCGCTACCAAACTCTCTAAAATTAATCACATATTCTCGTTATCTGTTCACTTTATCGTAACAGCAAGTACAGAGATCGTCTGCCAAATCTACAGTTTGCTGTGTACTGATCTACAGGTCAGGCATGTACGTTGATCAACATGTGGCGTTGTGTTACGTCGTTCAGAATGGACATATTTGTATGAAATGGCAACACAACTTGTCGACTAGTTTTCATCCAGTCTTGAGGAGGCAGAGGGAGAGCCGAAGGGAGCGGGGGCTCTGAGAATTTACACCCAGCATAGTGGGCGGCCACGGAACTAGGAGAAGTGCTGAGACTAAACCCTGAGTTACGATGAGGTGACTGGGAATGCCCCCTTTTCGGAGTCAGTCTTTTAACGGAAGATTCGCTCTTGCACGGGGAGCACTTCTGGAAGGGAGAATAAGAAATCGCGCGAGCGTTAGAAGTAACTACTCTTCCGCTTTCTAAATGCCTCTCGGACATGGTCATCGTGAGCAAATGTTCGAAACAATCAAAGTCTTTTTCTTTGTATATATGATATTATAAACTTTTACCTCTTTTAACACATGAAAGACGAGGAATTTTGCGTTTAAAAACATTCAATCCCAATGAAAATGCCAATGACGCAGTATCTCGCATTAGCTTTCACAAAATGGACGATGATAGCAGGCAGATCAAAAACAAAGGCAAATCCATATGTGAGATAATATCTCCTTGTTTCTGATATATCCAAAGTTTATTTTCTAAGCGTGGCACTATCACAAATAGTCAACACAACTCACTGATCAAAATACTGCTTTTGAGCGCAAAATTCTAGAAAATACTCTCCTTAAATCTTAATATATCAAACAATCAAGATCACCTTGAACTGAAGTGCTAAACTGGCTGAACTGAATAACAGACAAATTCTAAACCAGAGTTCCCAACTCTCAAAAATTAATCTCCCAAAAGCACACATCAAAAACCACTGAATTCATTACATGGGAAAAATCACATGCAAAAATAAAAAATAAGCAAATGATGTGAGAAATCTTTGAAAATATCCTCTGAAAAATCCCAACTCGCTCATTTACCCCTTGAATTTGTTGGAGAAATTCCTAAGTTGGGAACACTGTTCTAAACATACATTCTCAGACGATATTGATATTACCTTTGTGATAGATTCATCAATGTTTAATAACAAAATCATTGATTTTCGGTTCAGCATTCAACTACTTTAAGTTTGTTGGTTCCAATGTGATAGGTATGACTAACAGATGAAACCAGTTTAGGTCAAATGATTAAAAAAATAAAACATGTAAAGTGCTTTTATTGTGAGGGTTCAACTGAACAGTTCACAAAGCACACGCAACACATTAAACAATATTATTTTAACCTTCCTCATGAAGATGATCACTTGATGATCGAAACACGTGTCGAGGTGTTAAAATAACGGTTTGGTGTTGGGAAAAACTCCATTAATATTCATACTATTATTGATTTCATTTGATGCATTTTTTGTGAAGAGGTTTTATTAGAGCTATCTTAAGTTCATCTGGGAAAATTCTCTGCGTCTATGATTGAAAGAATTCAAAGTTAACCCACTTTAAGTTAGTATTGAGAGCAACCTCCTATTTAACTGATATATTCAATCAGTATCACGTCATGGTGATTGATTTTCCGACACTTTTCACAGTATTTTTTCGAAAGAGAAAATAAAATATCTTTTATACTTTGTAGAATTTCTACAGTAAAATCAACCTTCTGAACACAATCTCAGTCTACAAAATTCGCTTGAGCAGATGAGTTTCAAAGTAAATAAATCAATCTGACGAATGTTATATATTTGGTAAATTGATTATAACAATAACTTTTCATATTACTACGAAATGATATAACTTAACAAATAACTTTGAAAAATAAACATCCCATAAATTGATAATATATCACTGGTTTCAAATATTCGCTAGTCACCTCTTAAGTATTCTCAGGTATCGGATTCACCCAGTTGTGTGGTGGTAAAGGGTAAATTTACAACCAGCGAAAAGCCCATTATTCAAACTAAGTATGCTTGAACCAAATGCACATTATTTNTGGAGTATCCGAAATCGCTCATCTTGGCTAGTAGCCCGTCGTGCCAAACTCTGTCGAACGCCTTGGAGACGTCTAGGAAGATAGCTCCGGTGTTGTGTCCTTTGCCAAGGTTGAAGCCTTCTGTCGCAAATTCCACTACCCTCAGGACTTGTAGCTCTGTTGAGTGCTCTGATCTAAAACCGAATTGTTCGTTGGGGAGGATCCCTAACTCTCTGGTTTGTTCTTCCAGTCTCTTCAGGATGACGCGTTCCGCCACTTTGCTTATGGATGGCAGTAAGCTTATTGGCCGGTGGTTCGCTGGAAACAGGTGGTTCTTCTTGGGCTTTGGTATGTGGATTACCGTTGCCTCTTTGAACTGGTACGGGAAGTGTTGCAGTCTGAGTATAGCATTTATGATGTTGGTTATGGCTGCTATACCCTTTCGCGGCAGCACTTTCAGTGCTCGATTTGTTATATTGTCTGGGCCTGGTGCTTTCCGAGTGGCAAGACGTCTCAGAATGTCCTTCACTTCCTCAGGCGATGTCGGGGCCAGTGGTTGCGCGTTATCTGTCCGTTGTCTAAGTCTCCGTACCGTTCTTTTCATCTGTCTCTCTATTTCGTCTACCTCGTCTGTGAACGGGACGTCATTCTCTCTGCACTGCCTTTCGAAGTTGTCCGCGAATGCTTCCTCCTTCTCCTGGTCAGTGTAGACTGTAGACAATTCCTTGCTCGCCGTGTATCGGCGGGCAGGGTCGTCGAGGTCCATTTCTGAGTTTTTTCTGCATTTGCCATGCAGATCGATCTTTGTTTCTGAACGGTAGTTCCAATTTCTTTTATTAAGCCCTGATGATGCAATCTTCTTCTGTTAGAATTCCGTCTTTGGACGGTAGAATCATTGTTGTATGCGGAGCTCATCTGCAATTCATTTGTGTATGAAGAGTTCCTCTTTATTGATGAATTGTTCTTGACTGAAGAGTTTTGATAAATATCGCAAACAACTGTATCACCGTTTGAAAACATCTTTAAGTTATAGTTTCTGTATTCTGGAATCTATTGTCTCTTCTATATCTCATGTCTCACACTATGCACACAGGTGGTCGATTTGAACTATTTTGCAAAATACAAACTCCAATTCTATTTATACCCACACACCAAAATGATCAATTACCTGCGAAGCTTTGAAGGCATGCAACTTTGAGAGGTATGCAGAATATACACAGAGGAGAAAGTATAAGTATGCATAGGTAATAAACCTTTTCATGCCCCGGGAGGAGGCATGGGGACCCTTTCATGTGCATATTTAATACGAATTGAAATTTTAAGTGAAAAGGTATAACATAATGGAAAATCAAATTGGCGAGAGTTGATTTTACTATTACCTGCGGCAAGTAGAGACGATGTTTTTTAGTAGACTACATTAAGTTGTTTTTGCATTAAGGCAAGCAATTGGAAACCTATTTTGGTATAACCGGAAGTATTGTCAAAAAATTTGATATAGTGAGAAACATCAGATGATGTTTACTCAGTTTTCGAAAACAAATTTTAGGAGTTGCCATTTTTTATGAATTCACAACTTTCGAATAGTTATTTCAAATAGGTACCATTTTTTACTCCATTTATTTCGAAAATTTCAACATGACGTGTTATTTATCAAACCTCAACATGAAAGTGTAGGTACATGTTGTATTATAAAAATGTCAAAGGTTATATGCGGTTCATTTTTTTTATATGAAACTTTTCATTAAAATACATTGGATACGAGACCTTCTATATAACTTATAGAGGACCCCTCACGTCTACAATCCTTGTTGAAAACCTTTTTCAGATGTTTGGACTGTATCACTTAATATCAGAGATTGTTAGCTGAAAATAATCCTTGTTTTGAAATTACACAATGCCATGTTGAATCTGAACAATTAAGACACAACTGACTTTCAATTTTCTTTTTTTTATACAGAAATTTTGAGTCTCCAAGTATAATATTATTCATACTATTTGACGATTTTCAGTTTTGTAGTTGAAAATTCACATATAATATATGCTTACTTTACTCTTACCATGTCATGCCGCTACAATAAAAATAATTTTAGTTTCAGTTCCTCTTGGAGCAAAATTACTGTACGGAGCGGTATCAGTTTATTCGGTGATACATTTGTTATCAACTTACAAACGAACAAATTTTTGCTGTTTTTTAATTCAATTATTCGTTGTTTTTAAGACCATTGTAATTCATCTAAGAAGCGATACACGTGAAACTGTGTGTATCCACGATCAGCTATACCTGTGACTTGTTATGTTTATTGTCTTCTTTGTTGATCAAGAGAATGATACAATTTTTCATTTGAACGTTCCAGAGTGATTCTTACAGTAGATACTAATCTTAATAATTTATTTTCAGGTCAAGCATTCACAGAAAGCCAATGTGAAACCTTTAGATGTTTGGTGTGTCATAGCAAAAGATGGAAGCTTATGTACAGCTCACTGTACTTTTATGGCCGGAAACAGTGAAGTTTGTAGTCACGTTGGCGCCATATTATTTGATGCTGATTATGTATTATGGACATACAGGATTGCTTACTTACATATATCGCCACGTTAAACAAGCGATGAGCAGATGTGACGTAACACTGGTGATACTTTTAGTAGCTGCCATAAGACTGTGTGTTATTTTAACATTTTTTGGGGATTATTTTCGGACAGTAATACATTGTTTTTGTTTATTTTGGTTGAATTTTTATTTAACTATACCAATTAGGTTTCTGAAACATTGAGTTTGTTATTGTTAAAGTCGTATTTTTTTTGTGCTTTTGGACATTTTTTAAACTGGTGTAACGAGTAGACGCCATATAAGATTCTGTTATTTTCTTCCGTTTTGAAGTTTGTTTTTTGCCATTGTGGAACTTTTCTTTGTTTTTTGAACATTTTCAAATTAAATTAAGGTAAAAATTGGAAATATTCACATTTTTGTAAATAGTAGCAATAATTGTCTAACCAGATTCCCGTCTCGACCAGATATTTTTCTCGAGAGAATTTATCAGGTTGAAGCTGGAATGATTCTGCAACCGTGTGAGAAATCACACGTTAAAAGGTAAGACCTCGTTAGTCCTTAGCTCGCAAAAGTTCTCAACTTTTGAGAGTTGTTGTTCGTATGGGGGCGACAGCTGATTAACGGAAAACAGATTTTAAACAGATTTTTTTTTTAAACAGATTAAATAACCTTGTGATTTTTAGTTGAAATGCCTGGTTGTATTTGTGCAGTGTCCACTTGCAAAAGCAATCGCTTGACTTTGAAGAAAAGTGGTGTTACTGATGTAATATTTCACTCTATTCCTATTGCTAAGGATATGGTTTCCACAACTTTGCAAAAAGAATGGATTCGTCGCTGCAAAATAGGGGATAATTTCATTCTCAAAAATGGATTTGTTTGTTCCAAACATTTTACAGAAAATGATTATGAACGAGAACTTGAAAATGAATTGTCAGGTAAAAACTCATTCTATTGATTTACTGGTTGAAATAAATATGATTTTTAATAGGTATGCCTTTGCGTCGTAAATTAAAAACAAAAGTGCAGTACCTAGTTAACCTAAATTATCCAACAATTGATAAAAAGAGGGAAGTTTTACAGAATACAAGTCGCAATATTAGAGCCTTACAGAAAAAATACAATGAAACTATCAGTATGTTATTTGAATCAAATTTGGATAATTTTAAGCCATCCACATCTCAAAGTTGCTCTTCTCCTCATAATATTGTATCTCCTCAACCTCAAGCTGATCAACAAAATATTGATTGGTCTATAAACCTAAAGAGAGAGAGTAGTTTTTAAGGTTAAGTCTTCTGTTGATTGTGGTTCCTTGTTGACTTTCCACTTCACATATTCACATTATTATTATTATTCGTACCTAACATTATTTTCACTCAAACAAAATACCTGAATATGAACTTCTACTAGTAGAAATCGTGAATCAAGATGTGGAACCCATTTGCCACAACTACAGAAGTGTATATGTTAAAATTTAGTCACACCAATGATACATGTACAATTCATCTTACTGATTTGAAAAAAATATGGACTGGTGTATTTTCCATAGACGTTATAGTTCAAAAATTTCTAGTAAAGTACACAACCTTTGAATGAAACCTAAAACAAATGTTGCATTCAATTTTAGGAATATAACCCCCTGATTGATGTTAAACCTGATGAAGCAATTACCCAAGTTAGCAATATGTTCCATGGCATTGATAAAGTTCAAGTAGTTGAAGTTACTCAATCTGAATCGATGATAAATTTGAGTATCAAGACGAATATTTCAGATTTCAAAATCAAATACGAAGTAACTCTTACCAAGACTGAAGATGAAAAGGTTTGACAATTTAATACTATGAAAGTTTATATTACAGTTGAAGTTGTGGTAATTATTTCTAGAATTATTCGGCATGCACTTTTTTCAAAACGTTTCTCATTAGACATATATTTTTATTTTCTGATCATGATTGTGAAGTCAAAACATAGTGCTTCAGTAAACTTTCGGAGATACAGCCATCCAAAGTTGATGAATAAGAAATGAGTTATGAATTATAATATTTGAGGCAAAGTCGAGTAAAATTTGGTAAAGCAAAAATATCATTTAGAACATAGTGCAAAAAAAAAATATTTGATAAAACAGAAGTGTTTGATTGTGTGAAACATTTGAGATATGCAAATGAAGGTCCGCAGTATGCGATAGTCATATTAAGGTTTTATTAATGTGTCTTTCATACTAGAATTGAGTTCTTGAAATAGATGATTTATTTAACAGTTTCAACTTTTGGTAAGTAATGATGTAATAAAGTATCAAAGTTGTTCTATTGCAATGAACAATTTATTTTGGAGTAGGCCCAAATATTTTTTATAGAACTTCTAAGACTGTCTACAATATAGTTCAAAAAGTATCTAGAAAAGAATATAATTTGGTCATGAAGTTCACATAATTAAAATCACTTGCACTTATAAAATACATACCTACAATGTTAAAAAAACAATCCGGTTCTATATAAAGTAATAAATTTTCTCGGTTCAGATTTCAAGAAGAAAAAAGCAAAGCTGTTTCAATATTTCAATTTCATCAGCAATCATACAGCAATATAAATTTAGGTGAGGCAACAGCAGCACTTTTCTGAGATGTATCAAACGTTTTTGACTATGAAACTCATAGAATATTACTCTACTACTATGGAATAAGGGATAATGACGGTAATATGTGAAGATTAGCAGTTCTAGTTCTAGTACATTGGTTGTAAACGCAGGGGTGTTTATTTTCGAGCCACTGCCGTTTTCGATATACAGTATGACCACTGAAGTTTGCATCATATGTAATTTTTTATTGATAGCTTTATTCGAAATTTGAATTTGTTATGAATTTCTGCTTCAATTTTGAAGAAAACACACTTTGATGTGAGATTTTCATTTGAGAGTTTGCAAAACTGCGACGTGTGTTTTACAATAGGAATCACACGTTAAACTGTAAGATCTCAATAATCCTTAGCTCGCACAAGTTTCCACTTCTGAGGGTTGTCGTTCGTAGGGGTGCAACAGCTGGTTTACAGAAAAACAGATTTTAAACAGATTCAGGTGGAAATCTCACATTAATGTGTCTTTTTGAATACTTTATAATGGATTTTCATCAAGTATCGGTCAATTCTATATTTTTGATCACTCTTAAACCTCGTAGGATTGTAAATAGCATTAATTTTACCAAAAATATGATTCTCACTTTGGATTCCAAGAAGAAAAAAGCATCGCTTGCAATATTTTCATTTTGCCAACAAACCTACAACTCTATACATGATTATAAACATCACCTGACTTTGACCAATTCTTTACTATTTTTTTAAATTTCACAACAGTCCCAGATGAGTTGATGTATTTCAGATATTGAAAACATATAGTACCAACAAAGATCAATGGGCTTATAAATCATATTGAAGTTCTGGTGTTTTCGACAATTTAACTTTCATCAACAGTTTGAAAAAGGGAAATTCAATGTGTGTTCATAGAAATTATCTGCCATATAACTTTTCAAAACTCTTTCAAAAATTTTCATTGTTATTGATTCTTTTTTCCTACCAAATCAACAGCAGCTGCTATTGATTTGGTAGGAAAAAAGAATGAGTTTTCATTATTTTTTGTAGTTTATGGAAATGATGACAATCCCAATGATTCAAACCATACATTTTTTAGAAATTCAACAGAAGATGTTGTGCAAGTTGATAGAGAAAAAAGATAGAGAATTGGAAGAGTATCAGATGGAAAAGGGGGCTATTTCAAGGAGTGAGTTTTATTATTTGATTGATTTAAGCCTGAAATTACTTAAAATCCTATTTATTCAGAAATATATTCTATTAGAAAAATATTGATAGATTCAAGTCACTTGACAGATTTGAAAGACAAAATATACAATTTTTATATCTACATCCCATAAATTGAAATCTGTTGATTGACATGTTTTTTTGGCTGGCATAATAACACTGTCTTTTGCAACATGCAAAGGGCCAATTTATACATCTTAGCCCTTATCTCTCCCTTAATTTTAGTCTGAAGAAAAAAGGTTCAACGTGTATTAATTCATATAAGATTTTAAACGTTTCTTGCCTCTGTCTCAGTCTTTGATCTTGAAAGTTCTCGAAATTCAACTTTAAGGACTAAGACCACAGAGTACCTCATGGAAGGGATACTCAGCACGGAATAGGAAACATGAACTTTTGAGAATCCCGAGGTGATTACAGCCCTAAACATTTTGTTGACTGGTTAGTAAACATGAATATGGTAAAATACAACTAGTTTGGTTGACATTTTTGTCTAACAACCTGCTGAAATGACATCATTAGAATTCTTCGACTGCAATCACATTATAATAATAAGAATACTAATATAGTTCATTCAAATAAAAATATCAATATAATACATGTCAATATATCAATAAAATACAATACAACGGATTCAATGAAATCAAAGTAAGAGTCAGTAGGCATATATATCCTTGAATAAACGTAGGATTCTTCTATGGCAGGGCCTGCTAATAATGACATTAATACCTCAAACACAGAATATGGGTCACAGAAACATGACCCCTCAACATCACATTGCTTCCAGATGAATGTAAGAGTAGTAAGACAAGGTATGCATATGCCTAGGAATAGCTGCAGCTTCTTCAATTGATCCAATTGAATGGCATAAAACAGACAACTACAAATTCCCATATGTTGCCGACTTTAATAATGACAGTGAATATATTCTATAAAATACATTTTAAAAATTCTTTACATATTTAAAACGAGATTAAAAATTGCAAATTATCTCTCTACGGCCGTAGCTTCTCATTCGAGCGCATTTGGCCAGAGTCGTTCTGTTCATAGTTAATAGAAGCTTCGTCCGAGGGCGCAGCTGCCTACTTGAAGCAATGCTGCCACCCTAAGTCTTTTCATTCGTTTTCTTGAAAAATTATTTTTCACTGGTTATGATTTACTAGTTAATGACTAATTGAATTCTTCAGTGGTTTATATTAGCTTTCAGAATGTGAAAGGTTAAATACTCAAATAACTTGACGCATAATTCAGTTTTAAAAATTGCCGAGTAGTAAATTTGTGGTCTTAAATGGTTTTCTTGTAGGTGATTTGATCACTGGAAAGTTTGAAGCAAATACCTTGGTTAAATCTAGTAGAAAATTAATTTTGAACACCCTAGGAAATTCCGAAAAATTTATGGACCACATAAAAAGGAAATTTGGGGAGGTGGAAGAAGATGTGGTTGAGTAAGTGCTGTAAAATATCCTATTGAGATTCATTAACTTTCACAAATATTCCAGAGTCGTTGCTGAAGTTTGGAATGAAGGAAAAAAGAGGAGAAAAATCTTTGAACATAAAACACCATCGAAGAATTCCAAGATAGTTTTTAAGGAATAGGTTTTCTTTGAATGTTATTTTATGTAATACTTCTTTTTTTCAATAGTTCTAGTCCTTGGGAAATTGTTCAGTGATTTGATATAATTTTTTTACCATAAATAGAAATACATATATTTTTTTCCTAATTTACATTCATGTTTTTTAATAAGCATAAGGGTCCCCTTTGGAACAGTGGTCAAATTTTCCATTCCTGATGAATCTGCTAGTAAGACAATATCTATATGTACTTGAATTGACCAATACTATCTATAATTTATACAACTAACACTTAGTTGGGAAATTTTTACTGAACAGTTTATAAAACCTTGACATGTGTTTTACAATACAATAACTTCTTTAGGCACGTTCACGCTTCTGAGGCAGTTATGGTTTAGTGAAACACGTATTGCGGTTTTGTAAACTGTATGTAAATTGTATGTGTGATAGGAGCACCAAATAGTACATTTCTGAATGAGAAAGCTAGTCTGAACGCCCTTCAGAAATCTTGATTTCTTTAACTTTTTGCATCGTCCGACAAAACTGCTCTCTCTTCAAAAAATATGTTTTTATTTTCTCCAGGTGCAGTTGACACCTGGACATATTGATATTGCTAAATCTCTGCTTTTCCCTTACACTTGATTCAGGATTTTCTATATCTGCAACACTAACCAAATGGTTATCATTAGTCAGTACTTTACATGACCGTTATTTTTCATATTGATGTGACTTGTTCTCTCTAACAGTTTGGTTAATATTTTGAAACATTTCACTTGTGGTCATAATGAAAAAATGGAAATTTCTGTTTTTTACCACTTTTATTTGTAAGTAACGTTACTGCAGTTTCGTCCTACACGGACATTCTCAAACTTATACAATAAACTAACAATGATTCATTACATTCGCCATTATATACCATCCCTGTATGTACTAATAGAAATAGAAGTACTTGACTTGATTGAGTACCTGAATTTACAGTTTACAATGCGGATGTGCCAATTTAAAAACCGGAGAGTAAATTAAATCGATTTGATCATTCAACAGGTTGCACCCGCAATGTTTATGCTTGTGATTCTAAATAATTGAGTTTGCAACCCTTCCTTGCATGGTGTAGAATTTCCGTATCGTTTAGATTCGGAAACTTGTGGTTGCATGCCAAGGAATGATTTGAAAACGTCGAATCATTTTTTCCTAGTCTGAAGGACCCTTCATTTTCAGCATACCGATTTTGCAAATTTCGGCCGCATTGTCCCACATAAACACTTACACTCCGCACACTTAAGCTTATAAACTCCAGATGTTTCCAACTTGTCGACCTTATCTTTAGCATTGAAAAGGAAATGAGCAGATAACTTGGCATGTGGTCGGAATGCTACTTCCACATTGTTTTTTCTGAAGAAACCTGCGACTATTTCTTTTTTTTTTCTTTTTCCAAAATATGTTAGCGTTACCCATTTCCTGATTTCTGGTTGTTTGACTTGAGGATATATTGATCTGTAAGTGAATTTCCGGCTTTGTTTCCTGACTGACCGGAAATTCACTTACCGAAATTTCCAAAAACGGTATGCTGAACATGAAAGGTCCTTCAGACTAGGAAAAAATGATTCGACGTTTTTAAACCATTCCTTGGCATGCAACATGCAACCACAAGTTTCCAAATCTAAAGGATACGGAAATTCTGCAATTATTTAGTATCCTTGAAAATTCACAAGCATGAACATTGCGGGTGCAACCTGTTAAATGATCAAATCGATTTAA